GAGAGTGCCAGTCAGCTTTAAGGTAGTTGTAAGATGTATGATGATAGGGGGAATCTGATGATAAAGAAGAATGAGGTAACAGTTTTAGAGAGATAAAACTGTGATCAGAGGCACCTAAGAGTGAATGTAGAGAAACTGAGCACTGACTAGGATCAGAAACAAGACCTAAGTCGATTAGTGAAGGTAAATGATTCGGATTGTCTGGAAAGAGAGTTGGGAAGTTGACTATTTGAGTAAGAGATTGAGAAAAGCAAAAGTTGAGGGTCTTAATACCAGCAGAGTCACTGACACTAAGTTAAGCCATTCAGTTTGATGAGCATTAAAATCACCAACAACAATGATATTGGCTGATGAATAAAAAGAGAGGTCTTGGTCAATTTGATTAGAAATAACATCAAAAAGAGTGAAGACCTGAGATGAAGGAGAGCGATATAGAGCAAAGAGAAAGGCAATAGAGTGAAGTATGCACATGAAATTAAAGCACATAAAAAAATGGTCTGTAGGTTCAAACCTAGTTTCCTAAAAAATGGGTGAATCCTTATGAATGTAAATGCCCAGGTCAAGCATGTGGCTATAGGAGTCTTTACGAATTAAAGGAAGATAACCATCAACACTAAGATCACAAGATGAGACAGCTGAACTCAAATTAGTCTAACAAAAAGTAAGTAGGTCTGGTGAACTTTGCAAGAAATAAGACTCAACAGAAGAAAAGTTACTTCTAAGACCACAAATATTAGTGAATGATATGTTTAGCAAACTTGGTGATGACAGTGGTTTTTGGTGTTTTATAATTTTTATTACTTTATTCATTTTCAAATTTGTTAAAGAACTTGACTCGAAACATAGATAGCACTCAGTACACTGTTTATTAGCCCAAGCAATTGCCTCATTACTATTAATAAACCCTAAGACGTAACAAAGGGCTCTAATGTGGCCTTGGCAATCCACACCAAAAGTAAAAACAGAAGATAAGGAATCTACGAAAACAAGAGATTTTGCTACATGAAAAGAAACTAAAAAAACAAAAACTAAATCTGATCAAAAAAGCATTACTCATTCATATGTAAAAGGGACTACCTGGTTTTTAAAACTACTGTATCAGTGTCACATAGATTATAAACTTTGGGTTGAAAAAACAGGACCACTTAGTGAACCAATTCGTAATGTAAGAGGCAGGGTTATTACAATAATAAATGAAAACACTGGAATACAATTAGATAAGTGTTGCAATTCTGGTGAGAATGGAGGGACATCTACAACAGGATCACAAGGCCATAAATATTTTCTAAATAATTAATATATACTATGAAAGAATATGAACATATGAGCAAATTTTATATAAACAAAATACAAAAGAATCTATAAACAAAGTTCATAGTAGTGCATAGATAATTAAGAAAGTTCAACAGTCCTATGTTACTTTTATATTCTCAAATCAGTGTAACCTTAATGATGGTTATGGCCTTGGCAAATTATCTAAGGAAAGTCTAGACGCATACAATAAAGATATAAGAAACTATTTAAAGCTTCTTTCTTGTAAGATATTGCATTTAGAACAGCTTACAGATGTGATGAGTCGCTTTTTAGAGAGATCCGATCCTGGTGTTTTAAACCAAATTATCCATTCACATCCTTCAAAATTATCCATTCACATCCTTCAAGATATGTCAAGATTGTTTTTCAAATAAACATACAGATCTCAAGAAAGTTTTTGAAACTAAAGAGGTATTTTGATGATATATTTTAAAACCTTATTTATGATTAGTTATGAAGTAATTATATTTATTGCTTTTATTTTTTATTTTCAAATATATATATATATATATATATATATATATATATATATATATATATATATATATATATATATATATATATATATATATATATATATATATATATATATATATGTATATATATATATATATATATATATATATATATATATATATATATATATATATATATATATATGCAATATCAAACCATTAGAACGCTTTCCTTTTAATTGTATTGCACTAATGTTATTTTAAATTTGAATTTGATCAAATGTTTGAAGTAATAAGCTTCTTATTAATAAACAGTAGTAACCAGACCCTCAAATTAATTAAATTTTCGATTTTCTTTACTTTAAGTATATCTAAATTACTCTTTTAAATGCCATTTAAAAAAAATTTGAATATTTATCAAAACACTAATTTGTCAAAAATGTTCAAATTAAGTCATTTGAACCTAGTCCACAAAATTAGTTTAATATTAAAAATTTTAATTTTCCTACAAATAAAAAAAAATATCTTTCCAAAAAGTATTCAATGAGTTTTCTGGGATTTTTTAATCATTATTTATGATTCTATTCCCAAAACTTTGCATTCTGGATCTACTGTGTAGTGGAACAGTAGTTAGACAAGTCTGATAATTCTACAGAATTTCTATATTACGGATAACAGATGATGTTTTCTACCACTCTGGAAAACAAGGCTCAGTTAAGCACTTGTTAAATAGTTTTGAAAGTATAGACATAAATGACAGCTTCAGAGAACATGCCTTCAAGACTATAACAGGTATTTTGTCTGGACCACAAGCAGCAAAAAAGTCTAAACAAGAAATCACTTTAAATACCGAAGCTGGAGTGATGTGAAGGTCAAGCAATGGATCAACCTGATTATTGACTAGGATCAGGTAGGATGTGATCAGAGATAAGATTGAAATCTCATATTTTTAAAATCTTATTCTTAGCAAACAACTCAGGTTATTTTTTAGAAGAGGGAACAAAATCTGAACCATGCAAGAGAGAAGGAATAACAGATTTGCCCTTAGACACTGTTAGACACTGATAGACACTGTTAAAGATTCTCTAGAAGTCTCAGTGGCCTAATTTTTGAGATGAATTACAAGATTTTATGACCTTAGAATTGCAGATTTTGGCGACAAAACCTTTCTAACAGTAGTAATAGGTATGGAAGTGATGACTATGATTGGAAATTGCAGCAGCACAATGAGAGGAAAACCACAGAGAAGAGTGAGGCTTGACTTGGAATCGTTAAAAGGAAATAAAAGATTCCATGCCAACTGAACCCAAGACGTTACATAAGAAGCACATTATTCAGCAAAAAGATGACCAAAGGGCCATCATGAAGAAAATTAAGAAAAGAGTCCCAGTCAGCTTTAAGGTAGCTGTAAGAGGTACAATAATAGGGGGGTTCTGATAATGAAGAAGAATGAGATAATAATTTTTGATAGATCAAACCACGATCAGAAGCACCTAAGGGTGAATTTGAAGGAATTGAGCACTGAATAAAATCAAAAACAAGACATAAGTCGAGTATAGTAGGTAAATGATTCAGATTGTATAGAAAACAGGTTAGAAAATTAACTATTTATGTTAGAGATTGAGAGAGGCAAAAGCTGTCACTAGAGCCAAGCTATTCATTGTGATGAGCATTTAAGTTACCAACAAAAAAGATATTGGCTGAAAGATAAAGAGAAAGGGCACAGTTAATTTGATCAGAAATAACATCAAAAAGAGTCTTGAGATAAAGACGAGCATATAGAACAAAAAGAAAGAAAAACAGAGTGAAATGAATGAATGCACATAAAAGAATTGTCTGTGAATTAAGCCAAGCATGTGACTATTGAAGTTTTTATGAATTAAAGGATGACAATCACCAACATTAAGATCATAAGATGAGAAACTGAATTCAAAAATGTCTCACAAACTGGAAGTAAGTCTGGTGAACTTTGTAAGAGATAAGACTCAAAAAAAAAAAAGTTATTTTTGAAGACCACAAATATTAGTTAATGATAGATTTAGAGAACTTGGTGATGACAATTGTTTCAGTGTTTTATAGTTTTTTGTACTTTTTTTTGTACATAAAACATAGTTGTAGCTTTTATTTTTTATTATTGTTTTACAAAAAGTTATAGAACATGTGTACTGCTCATGTTTTGATTTTTAATTTTCATTTTTGAAATTAGATTTGTCATTTTAAACCATTGTTTTATTTACATTTAAAATTTTTTACATTGAAAATTATTTAGAAAATACTTTGAAAAAACAAGAAAGTTAAAAGAAATGAACAAAAATAAGTTATTTTGTTTTCATTGGATTTTATTATATTAAAATAAATAGATAACATACAAGTACCTAATGAAACTTGCAAATCAATATTTTTAAAATTATTAAAACACCTACTTATCAGTTTCTTTAACTTAAGTTTTTTGATTTTAAAAAACTCATTAGTGAATAGATATTTAACCATTTACTTAAAAATGCTTTCTCTCAACTTTATATGCAGAAAGATTTAATAGTATAAATAAAAAAAAAAAGATGTAAAATCCTTGAAAACATAAATCAACCAACAAAATTGATGAAAAATTCTAAGACCCCATAACATTTGATAACTTTAAAAGAAAAAAGAAAGGAAAGCAATTTATAAGGGAAGGAATTTAAGGGGAACTAAAGAGGAAGACCTAATACAATTTTATAAATTTTATTAATTTAATTTTGTATTCTTATAAGAAAGTATTCAAAAATTTAATTATAAAATAATTAGTTTAAGAGATAAAAATAGATTTAATTTCAAAAATACTGATGCTTATTTTGAAAATAGCCATTACGATAAACTTTTTAATAAATTGTGCAATTGTGTAATAATAAGTAATAATAAATTACCAAATTCAATTGTTGAAGCGCAGCCAGTTAATAAATTCAAAGCAAAAATAGAAAAACTATGTCTTGCAAAAATGATTTTAAATGGTTTTGTTTATATATGTTGTTTATGTGTTGGAGTTTAAATGGTTTTGTGGAGTTTTTAAAAAAAAAACTGCTAAATCTGAAATAGAGTCAACTTGAAGTTGATCTCATTATTTCTATGAATAAAAAAACATATTTCTATTTAAATAACATTCATATTTTTAATTCCTGTATCATGTAAACTTTACAAATTTTTTTTATACAAATATTGTATAAATAAAAGTAATCATAAAAAAATAAATATTACCTTTTCTACTGCCTTTAACCACCTCCTTTAATTTACTTAGATCCTCGTTTAACAAATCTAACAGTGGTATAACATAAAGATGCCCACCCTGATTTTCACTTCCAGTACCATAAACCATTCTTAATTCTTCTTTTGTTGAATAAAGTATAGGAGAAAAGTTTGATTCCTCATTTCTAGGTATTGCAATGGCTTTTAAAATATTCCCAGTTTTCCCACAAAAAAATAAAATTTTTGATGGCTGTCTAGTTTTATTGTAAGAGATTCTAATAACAAAAAAAAATTCACATGTTAACCACACTGTAAAAGATATATATAAAAAAACTAAGAAATAAAAAATATATAATCAACGCCAAAAAAAAACAGCCTAGTTTTTTTTACAAGACAAAATATTTAGTTAGATAAACCTCCTTTTAGATAAACCGCTAGTTAGATAAACTTTTGGCTTTAGATGCCTTTGAAGAGTTCATGTTTTGAGGTAATGAAAAGTTAAACCCTGAGTTTATTAAAAACATTCAAAAGTTGAACAACTGTTAAGCATCAAAAGAAGATAAATGTAAGTAGATGCTTCACTGAGCTTGTTCAGGAAGGCTTGGTAAGATTAATTACATTATTAATCAAAACCAGTTCAATGGGATCCTTGTTTGTCATGCAGAGGAAAGTGATATGGAATTATTTTGAGATGGTAATTACCTATTTCAACAAGATAATGGATTTTAAGCACACCACAAAACTTATCAAAACGTATGTTGAAAAACATATTAAAACATTTGTTGAAAAAAACATTGGAATGGTAGCCTGGTTAATCACCCAGTCCCAAATTCAGTTGAAAATCTATGGTTGATACTCAATGGTGTGATGAATGCAATAAAAAGCTTTAAATCATTGTTAACAAAACTTGTTAATAGCATGCTTCTGAGAATGATAACAAAAATACAGATTTAAGAGATTTTGCTTCAAAGAAAATAGTTTAATAAGGATAATAAAACAATATAATAGGTCTGCATATTTTGCACTAATAACATAGTTTGGCATAGTTTTGACACACTATTGTCTTTGTTAAACCAATATTACAATATACAATACAATGCTACAATACAATGCTACAATACAATGCAATACAATACAATATACAATACAATGCTTTGACATTAACTTTTTTTAAAAAACAACCTGAATTCTTAATTTTTTTAAATTTTACTCAAAAGTATTTTAAAAAAATGCACAAAATTCTAAAACCAGTTTTTTTTTGGCGTAGGCTTTTTCAAAAAAACTAATTAATAAAGAAAAAAAAAACTACACATGAAAGTCTCCGCCTTGAATCTGAACAACATCAGCAACTTGATCATTGTTTATATCATCAATAATTTGAGGCATGTACAATGTACCATGTTTGTTGCGAAATTTTTCATCTAAATTTAATTTTTTTTTAATTAAGTTACTTTAGTACATTTTAGAGAAATGTTTATTTACAATATTTAGTTATATAAAAATATTTATTTACAATCAATTTTATTTTATTATGTAATATTTTGTTATAATATATTATGGTATGAAATATAATGAATTTTTAAACAATCGAATTTTTATTATTTTATTTTTAGCTCACTAAAAATTTTTTGAAGAAAAAAAACTAAAAACACTTTACCAAAATATATTTCAAAGTTAGAGAATTAAAAGGGTTGTAACCAGGAATGCAGAGTCCCAAAAGGACTCTGGTATATCTCTAATTGTTTCAAGTCTGTAGTGTCCAGAAGTTCTAAACATATTTGTTGACTTACGATGACTATGAAAAAAAAAATTCATGAGATTCAATGACTTGAAACATATTGTTTTTAAGTCCAGAGTCCTGGAGTCCTTGCCGCCATCATGCTTATGGACACTGGGTTCAAAAAATGAACCTTTCTCTTACCTAAAAGTCTTAATTTTTTTCCCATTAGTAATCCATAAACTTATTTATATTTCTAGAGCTTTTGCATACTAAAAAGATAAAGTAATGTTTTTGTGATTTTCAAATCTGGAGTCTTTTTTGGGGCTCCGCATCTATGGTTGTAATGAGAAAAGTAGTCTCCTCAACTGTATTGGTCCTCTCAGGCTTGGGGAGATAAATAACAATAAAAAAACTTCAATAGCCTGTGTAAAATATTTATTTACATTGTTATAATTTTTAAGTAACGCTGATTAATTCAACACACATACTTTACCGGGTTACCACTACTAAAACTGGGGCTGAAATTAAGGATATTAAGGAGATTTAAGGAGATATTTTACTATTATTTAAGAAGATTTAGTCGCAAACAACAATTTTTTGAAGGAAAAAGTAAGGAGAATTAAGGAGAAAACAATTACACTAAAAACAGAATCTTTCTTTTTTCAATCAATTTTAAATACAAATAGATAAACTATTATAAATAAAAAAAGAAATATTTATATATATATATATATATATATATATATATATATATATATATATATATATATATATATATATATATATATATATATATATATATATAATATATATATATATATATATATATATATATGTTGTCAACATATAAATTCTTTTTTTTTTCCAACAAGTTTCTTTTTTTTTGACATACAGCTTCTCTAGTAACTCTTGTTTTTCACAAGTAGCTCTTTTTAAATGCATTTTTAATACATTTAGTGATACAAACTAAAAAAACACTTATATTTAAGGCTTAAACCTAAGGCTATTCTTTTTTCAGCACGGAATCCAATTTCATCAGATCACTTTTTTAAATTCTCAATCATAGATAATGTCTGTCGAATTTCAGTACTGACAATTTCAATATCTTCTATAATTTTTCTTTTTGCTTCCATTTTTACTGTTTTTTCTACAGACAGGGCTTTTAAACGTTGATCATCAAAATACTTTTTTCTTGCTTGTTTGCAATAATCTAATAAATCTTTTGTTACTTCAACTTCATGAGCCATGAACCCATGAAATGTGAGGTAATCTTGGATTGAACGTAAAGAGATAATAGTGTCTGGGGACTTATTGCCATCGATCAGACTTTTATTGCTGCTAAATCCTCGTTCAACTTGAGCTTGACCGTGTGATAAAATGAGGACAATTGCGAAAATGTGCTGTAGATTTGCATATATATTTAAATCAGTGTATTTCCACAAAAAGTAGTCCAAACGATCCTTATCTTTATCAAAAGTCAAAAATACTTCTTTGTTATCAACGACCACACTTTTACAGAACCTGGAATATTCTTTCTTAGCTAAATTACCAACAGAAGCTCTAGTTTTCTTGTAAGTGACAAGCTTCATCAATAGTTTGTCAAAAAAATAATCACACTTTTCTGGATATTCAACCATAAATGATGAGGAAATACACACCAGACAGCGAGCAACCAGTGAAAACAAAGGGCTTTTCTCAATAATATGAGTACACATTGATACAAGAAAATCACTTATTTCCTTTTTGAAGGTGTCAATTTGAACATCGGTAATCTTTCCCTTACTCTTAAGTTGCTGGAGATCATACTTCAATGAAAAATCAACATCAACTTGGCTGGTTGAAGGCCGGTTTGCGAAATCAAAAAAATCTATTTTAACAAAGATGTTGTAGTTTTGGCATTTAAAAGAACATCTAATCGAATGAACTTTGCATAAAAGTTGCGTAGTAGTTCTTCAAGTGTCACCACCAGAAAAGGAGTCATTGGTTTATCAGTTTGAAAAGAAAATAGAAGAAAAAAAAATAACAAGATTAAAAATAACTTTTTGTGATTTTTTCTCAAAATTTTAAAAATAATATGAAAAGAATATCTCAGAATATTTTTTTACTATTGTAATAAAACAAAATATATTACATAAAGACCAATAAAATTGCATCTGGATTAAATATTACATACCAAGGAATGTATTTAGACTGCCGCTAATTTCTTCAAAAAACTTCAACTTTAAAGGAACTAAAACTTCATTTGTTTGAGCACTTAAATGTTTAAAGCTGGTGTTTTGTCCTGATTTACCAAATCCAGGTTGCTTACTCTTTGGTAAAGACTTCCAGTAGTCAACAACTAATACTACTTTTGACCAAACCTCTATGGCTTTCTTGGCAACACTTTGATTTCAGCCCATCGAGTACCACAAAACATGTAAGGAAAATCTGAACTTGTTGCCTCAGCTATTCTTTCATAATCACTTGCTCTTGATGGACTTTCATGAAATATTTGGTACATTGAAGACATTAACTTTTTTAAGTTCCAATCAGTAGCTTTAGGACCAGTTTGTAAGGATCCATTAAGGATAGTATGTAAACCACAGGTACCAATATCGATGAGTGTACTTAATTCATTGTGTGTGTATATATATATACACACACACACAGATATATATATATATACTGTGTGTGTCTGCATTGCCGAATGCCGACCCTAAATCAGAGGGTTATATATATATATATATATATATATATATATATATATATATATATATATATATATATATATATACATATATATATATATATATATATACACAGATATATATATATATATATATATATACATATATACACATATATATATATATATATATATATATATATATATATATATATATATATATATATATATATATATATATATATATATATATATATATATATATATATATATATATATATATATATATATATATATATATGAAATATTTGGTACATTGAAGACATTAACTTTTTTAAGTTCCAATCAGTAGCTTTAGGACCAGTTTGTAAGGATCCATTAAGGATAGTATGTAAACCACAGGTACCAATATCGATGAGTGTACTTAATTCATTGTGTGTGTATATATATATACACACACACAGATATATATATATATATATATATATATACTGTGTGTGTCTGCATTGCCGAATGCTGACCCTAAATCAGAGGGTTATATATATATATATATATATATATATATATATATATATATATATATATATATATATATATATATATATATATATATATATATATATATATATATATATATATATATATACACAGATATATATATATATATACACAGATATATATATATATATATATATATATATATATATATATATATATATATATATATATATATATATATATATATATATATATATATATATATATATATATATATATATATATATATATATATATATATATATATATATATATATATATATATATATAACCCTCTGATTTAGGGTCAGCAATGCCAACCTAAATGCTGACCTTAAAGTGTTTGAGGTCGGCAAAATATTGCTGAACTCATTTCTATGTTTTATAGTAATCCCTTTGTAACAAATTTTCTTTACCAACCTTATGCCAACTTTTAATAGTTTGAGGTCAGCAATAAATTGCTGACCTCATTTTTCCTCATTCGGAGGGTTGTATATATATAGCTGTAATTAAAAAAGAGAGTCAATTACAAAGAAAACAAAAACAAAAAAATCTCTAATACTCGGATGGCTGATATACGATATACATGTATGATATATATGTGGTATATATATATATATATATATATATATATATATATATATATATATATATATATATATATATATATATATATATGTATTATTTTTTTTAAGGATATTTAAGGTTTTTAAGAAGGAGTGGGAACCCTGCTTTATTAGTTCATATTTTGCCAACATTATTAAACTTTTTAATACATAAACCTCATTCATCCAAATCATATTATAAAAATCCTGAAAATTGCTTGGGCAAAATATCCAGAAAAAATCCGTAATATATTCTCCCTTATTATCCTCCATAATTAGGTTTTCAGCTACGTTTTTTTATTTTTTTTTCAAAGTTTTTCTAACTTTTCTATGAGTGATAAAAGAAAAGCTTAAAAAAATAAATATATTAAAAAAATATACATCTAAACTTGTATGTATGGAAAATGTTTATGATATCCCGAGAAACTTAAAGTTAAAAAAACTTCAGAAATTCTGGAAATATCTGAAAAAAGATAATCCCTGTTTAATGAAAAATAATGAAAAATAATGAAAAAAAAAAAAAATTAAGGCTAAATCTTAAACTAAAGTAATTACGAGTTTATCAAATAAGAGCTTATATCTTGCTGTTTGGTTTTTATGGAATTTTTATACAACTTGTTGTTTGATTTTTATGGAGATATATTTTTTATGGAGATATATATTTGACTTATATTATGCTACCATATTGGGTTTTAATGGATATATTATAAATGTGTATGGTAAGGATACTTCGAAGTGATAAAAGCATTAATGAACTAAATCCTTAAACCTAAAGCCCTCCAGGAAAAAAAAAGCAAACAATAATTACTTTTGTTCGAACTTAAAATGTAAAAAATGCGTGTGAGAATGCTAAAAATTATGTAGTTACAAGAATATCAAAATATTGAAGATAAATTATCAATATAAAAAGTATAACTAAAAAAAAACTTTTTTAATTTTAAAACAATTGAAATAAATAAAAATGAATATATCAAGATATTCAAAAACTTTTAATCATAAAAATTGTAGCAAAGTTAGCAACAAACCTATATAAAAATAAATGAAAAATCTATTTACTTTAACTATTTACTTGATGATAATTAATTCCTTGAGGTTTAGCAAAAAAAAATTTGTTCCTTGAAGTTTTACAAACAAAATTTGTTTCCTGAAAATTCACAAACTAAACTTGTTCCCTGAAAATTCACAAAAAAAATTTGTTCACTGAAATTTTACTAAATAAGCCACTATTACACTTCTAATAATTTTCTCCTAATGCGATTTCACACTCCTATTGTGACGGTTTTAACAGAGTTTACACTCCTAATGTTATGGTTTGAACAGATTTTATACCCCTAACGTTTTCTAAATGTGACAGTTATAACATTGATTAGGCAGCCAAAACTGGCACACTACAATAAATATTAAAATTCGTTTAAAACAGTGACAGAATAAGACGAAGATTTTAAAAAACTTAAAAACAGGATTTTTTTTGATTTCAGTTTTTTTGTAATTTTTGATTAACACAGTTTTTTATCATGCATGAAAATTTTTGTAAGTACTTGCATAACAAAATTTTATAAAATAATTTCACTAACAATTAAGATAAAGAAAAACATTAACTTTAACTTTATTGCTTGAATATGAAAAATCTTCTTACTGATAATAACATTTCAAACAATATTTTAAATATATAAGTATCTTTTTATAAGTTAAAAACAAGAAATCAAATTAATCTTGACTCAACTAAATACACTAAACTTTCACTGTCTACATGGTCTGACTTTACCTCAAGTCATATTGGTTTTATTTGATCACTAATACACTGGGGTCACTGAAAATTTTGATTTTTAAAATCAAAGGGTTTTAACTTAAAGAGTTTACAGAATAAATTTTTTGATTTAAAATTTTTAAAATTTCAACAACTTTAATTTTGCTAAAAAATTGACTATATAATTGGTTTTTATAAAACTAAATTAAATTTTATAACTTTAAATATAATTATTAACCAAACAGATTTTTGATACCTAGGAATATCCATAATAGTTTTCCAGTAGCCCCACTAATTGCTTCAAAAACACCTCCTCTTCCACTACATAAGCAGTCAGCTACTCCATCGGCATCAAAATCAGCATTACAGTTTATACTAAGTATGCTGTGATGTGAGAAGTGGATCCACAACTGATCTCCAGTTACTCCATCAACAGATAACACACCACCAAAGCAAGGGTATTTATTATTATGAAATGTACTGCATGTTTCTGCCTGATCAACATTAAAACTATCAAGACTTGTTCCAAAACCCATAATTATATCATCAACTCCATCTTTGTTAATGTCAACTAGTCTAGTAGAAGAGTCTGTGTATAACTTCTGAAAATCTTTTTGCCAAACTTTTGTTATTTTATATCCAGAACATGATCTTAAATTTGGTAAAGCAATATTTTTAATCTCATTTACTTGACTTAGATTTGTGCTCTTTTGCACAGTTGACATTTGATAAATGACTTTTTGATCAGTGACTGGAACAATTCTATTAATTCCTAACTGTAAAAAATATGTTATTGAACATACTAATGTAAAAAGGACCATAAAGAAAATAAGTAGAAAAATGCAACTACGACATGATAAAATTGGTTTTGGTTGAATAATTTGTTTTTTAGTGTTGCCATAAGGTTTATCTCTTTGAGTTGAATTCTTATTTTGTGAATTATAAATTTCCAACTCTTCCCCATGATAATCTGTAAAAAGTTCTTCCTCTGAAAAATCTGACACTTCATTGTTATTACTATTGTTTGTCACAGCAGCCTGATAAAAATGTTGTAAAGCCATATTATATTTGTGCTGCATCATTGTTTCTAAAAAAAAGATGCGATAGTTAGAAACAATTATTAAGACAATAACCAATTTTTTTGTTTTGTGAAAATTACAACATACTATATTACTGTAAACAATTACAGACAAACCACTTAAAAAACTAATACTCAATTTATCTATATATTTTTAAAATATACAATTAATATAATATATAAACCTATAAATTCCTATATAGATTAGTGTTCCCTTGTGCTAATTTTGCAAACTATTTTTTCCCTGTTAAAAACTCTTTAAATTATTAAAATTATTAAAAACTTTTTAAATTATTTCAAAAAATATAAATTTTTTGAAAAAATAAATAAATAAATAAAAATATAAATTGTTCTACAAGTAATGTTTTTGCAATACTCAAACTAAAACTATTAAAGAAACTACTGGTATACCTAAGAATTAAAAAAACATTAAAATTAATTTTTTCTATCAACTTATTTAATCAATTTTATATAAAATCCCCTAAATATGTAGTTCTTAAATTTCATACCTATTTTCTATAAAGTAATTTGATATAACAATTGACAGAGAAATTATAACCTTACTATGATCGATATGCCTCGCTTAGCACCAAGATTATATTTTTCATTCTATTCATTTTTTTTTATACATTTCATTCTTAATATGAACAGGATGATCATATTATGCTTGTAATTGATATTTTCATGATAAACTATAATATCAATCATATTTTAATATGATCAACCTGTTCATATTATGAAAATCATAAATACATTATAAAATTAGATTCTAAATAAAATCAACTTAGTTAGATTGTTTTATATACATAATTATACTTACACCAAAACAATGCAAGTATAAACTTAATAAAAATGTTATATCATACAAACAAGCAAATATTTAACATGTTGTTCTATACATTGATATCATATCATATAAAATATATAAAACAACATTATCAATAAATTTTATTGAAAGTATCATATATTTATTTTAATTTATTCTAGTAGAATAATTTGACTATATATTTCTGTATAAAATATAGTACAACAAATCTGCCTTATCTTATTATTATTTTAACTCGTTCTACACAATGTCTTGTTATTACCTTAAGCTTTATAACTATTCTTATTTTTATTGTTATTAATAGTATAGCTTTTATTATTATTAGTATAACTTCTATTATCATGGTTACATTATATCTATTACATTGTTACATTACTGCTATTATTATTGTGTATATTGTTATAAATATTATTTTTGTTTAATAATTGTATTACCATAATACTAATGCTATTTCTGTTATTATTATATATATCTAAATATATTATATATCAAAGTTAGGATTGGTCAATATTATAACAATGTATTTTAATTGAGTTAAAACACAGATTTACACAATATAAATGGCTAGGGAAAAGCAGTTTAAGTTGTTGTTTGCGGGAAAGAAACTTGGAATATTTATGCTTTAACACGTTTAATAAATCGTTTTAATTAAGAATGCTTTACGGACTTGCGAATAATTTGTTAAAATTGTGATTACGAAGTTTATTACCGATTACTCATAGACAAAGAAGTTTACGAAGGCAAAGATTACGAAGTTTAGAAACTTTGAACATAGAAGCTGATTAATAATGTAAGTTTATATGGTCGAAGTATAGAAAGGCGAAGTCGAAAACTATGGCTATGACTTCGGTGGCGAATTTGAAATAGAAATAGGGTTTTCATTTAAATTCGGTAACAATTACTAAGTTTCATTTAACTTTAAGTTAAATTCAAAAGTTAATTTTTTCCAATTAAAAAAGCAAATTGTTTATTAAATATAATACTTGTTTTACGCATGGACCCCGAGAGCTTTAATGACGCCCGGGGCATAACAGCAAACAGTCGCCCCTATTATTATGCACCCCTACAATAAATAATTAAAAGGAATATAAATTAAAAGCATGAACAAGGAACTTAATTAAAAGCATGTTATATGTGTATATTATACAAACTAATAACAGTATTTTTAATTTTAATACTGTTGTTTAACTTTCATATTTTTATGAAACGCATCTGAATTAAATAACACACTGCAACACATTTAACATTTACTAATTAGGATTAATAGACAGATTCTTCAAAATTATTATTTAAAATACGTTTTTTTTTTTGCTTTTTTACTTGCAAATTATTATTTTGTCATCTAACGACAGAGATCCAATTCATTTTCAACGTGAATGCTCGATAGACGCTCTTATTCTATAGCCCAGTAGGCACGGGACTAAAAAACTTGCATTTTGAAGCTCTTTTTATTTCTATATTTATATATTTTTTCAATTTTGCTGTAGAAAGTTACAATTTATAATATAACTTAAACAATAAGACAAATGGCTGGAGCAAGAGCTCCATTGGAGCAATTAGCCCCATTGTGGCTTCATTACAGGTCGTTTTTTACAATAAAATATATAAAATCGTGATAAATGCTTTTGATAAAATATATATAAAATGTGTAAAACTACGTTTCACAATTGATATAACTGTTAATAGATAAATTCGTTTTGTAAAATAAATTTCGAATAAACAAAAGTAAAAGCAGATAAAAGAAAATAAATTGTGCTAGTTTATAATTTTTTACTAAAAAAGTAAAAGAAAATTTAAGTCCGTAGATAATAAAAAGCGTTTTGATTCAGATTTAAATTGTTCAAGTTTCTTTTGATAGCAACAATCTGGGGAATAAATTTTCACAAATAAGGTCCACGGTGTTGGATTGAGAATGAATTTAACTTTAATGTAAATTTTGGGATGGCAAAATTGTTATATGAGAATCTAGTATGATATTAATGACTTATTTCGCTAAAATAGGGTTGAAATATCGGCAAAGTCCATATTTTAATATTGCTTTACATAAACTGTAAAACAAAATGTTAATTTTGCATACATTCAACGCTCCAAGTTTGCATAAGAGAGGTTCACAAGACATTTTTTGCCTACTCCAAAGACAATGAATTCGTCAGCCCTAAAACATAGTATAATATGTGCCTGCCCAGGCCATGTTACCATAGCTTAGAAGACTATGTGTTAATGAAAAATATAAAATTTTTAAGGAAATGATATTAAGGAAAAGTTGGGTTTTATCATTAATGAAATATTTCTTGAGAACTTTTCCTCTAAAGCGTTTATATGTTTAATATCCACGACAAATTTTCATCCAAGGCGACACCTAGAAAGTTTATGAAAGTTTCTCTTTTTATATTAGTATTATTTATTTTTAGATCAGGTAGTTTAAGAGAAATTTTTTTATTTTTATATTGTTTATGAAATAGGATGAATTTGGTCTTTTTGACATTCAAAGAGAGTTTGTTACACCTGAACCATTCGTTTATTTTATGTAATTCTTTGTTGAATAAATTTTATGTAATTCTTTGTTAAAAAATGTCTTAATGTCTCTATTGAATAAAAAAAGTTGGAGTCATCCGCAAATAAGATTAAATTTTATAAGTTTGATGTTGAATATAAATCATTTATATAGAGTAAAAACAATAATGGTCCAAAGTTCGAGCCTTGGGGAACCTCGCAAGTTATGGCACCATTTGTTGTTTTTGTTGTTTTATACTGAATATATTGCTTTCTGTTTGATAAATAATCTTTAAACCAAAGTAAGTTGCTATTTTTGCTCCAGGTTCTTTTAGAAGAATGTTGTGATTTACAGTGTTAAAAGCTTTAGAAAGATCAATAAAAACTCCTAGCGTTAAGCAATCATTACTAAAAGTATTAGATAATTGAGTAACTAGCTCAATTATAACATGGTCGGATGAGTGGTTTTTTTTAAAATCCAAATTGTTTACGGTATAAAAAATTGTTTTCCATCAAATGATTGTAAAGTCTATTATACATGAAGCGTTCTAGTAGTTTGGAAAAAAATGGTAAAACTGCTTCAGGTCTATAATTATTAGTATCAATGTCATCCAGATTTAAAAAAAGGGGTAACTAGGGCAGTTTTTAGTTTATCTGTGACAATGCCTGATTTCAGTTAAATACCAAAGATGTGATGCAATGGTGGTTCAATATTATTAAATACTGATTTTACAACAAAGTTACCGACTTTATTAAAGCCCGCACTTTTGTTGTTTTTTAAAGTATTTAAAGCGATTCGCAATTTATTAGAATCTAGATTTGCTTCTTTCATAATTTTTTCTGATGTTAGGTTCTTAATCAAGTAAGATTGAAATGTTGCAGAACTCGATGGCATTTCTGCTGCTAATTTGTGAACCACATTAAGAAAAAAACTATTTAGATATTCAGCTATTATTATCTTATTACTGACTAACTTACCATCAATCAAAAGCTTTTCTGGCGGATTGCTTTTTGTAAAGTTATTTTAAACGTTGAAAAATTATAAACCCTATTTTTAACGTTCTTAAGATGTTATTTTTATGTCAAGTGCCAAATCAAACTTTTTTTTAATCAATCTTTATTTTTATTTAAAGGTCTTTCACCTTCTGTGACAGATAATGGCATCGTGTTAAAAGTTCGAATTACACTGTTACGGAATACATTTCCGTATTTATAAAAAAGGTACTAGCGTATAGCGTAAGGTGTTGTTAAAATAAAAATGATCAGGTATATAGGTGTTTGCCTATGATAACAGTATTAGCGTACGAAAGAAAAGGTGTTCGCGTAAAAAGGTGTCGATGTAATAAGGCTAAATATTCCAAAGCGCGTTTGATTTATTTGGCGCGAACAATATTTACAATGCCTTTTCCTTGTGTTAAGTGTTCATTTATATGCAAATCCGTTGGTAATTTGTTATTTCACTAATTAGTTATATACCCATATGCACTTATGTGTATATATTATCGTTAACAATGGCTTGGTCGAGATATTGTTATGAACTTCGTCAGCGCAGACCAGAATTCGATTCCCGGTAAAGTCGTAATGTAGTTTTTTTTGTTTTAATAATGGATCAAATAAAAATACAAACTTAAGGCGGACGTTTTTTTCAGGCACCCTTCTTTAGTACGTCCGTAAAAAAAGAATCTTATGC